TCCAGGGAAGGGTTAAGAAAGGAGACATCACCAGATGCACCCAGATGAGGCACTTGGGAGGTGACTTTGTCCTCTGCTCCTGCCATGGATGAAAAGCAGGATTTTGGCCCAGATTCCCCAGGGATGATGCTGGGGACATCTCAGGGAGCTGTCCTGGCCAGAGGGTTTGGGCAAAGGAACAAAAACCACTCTGAGTTCTCCCCAGACCATCTCTAGGACAGAAGCTCAATACAGTGTCTGGAAAAGCAATTAAATCTCCTGTGATCTTAATGAGCCAGCCTCCTTCCATCCCTATGCAGGCAGATCTGAGCAGGCAGTGGGGACACTGTGACAGAGCTGTCACCCTGCCACAGAGCTCCGGGCCATCAGCCCTGAGTTTGCCCCGCTATGATCAACCCAAGCTGTTAATTGTGAGCCAGGAGCAGCAGCCAGGGTGTCCACTTAGTGCTGCTGTCTGAGGCTCGAGTTCAAAGCTCTGTAAATGATTTTTTTTTGTTTTAATTCTCATTCCCCTGATGAGCTTCATCTGCAGCCTGATGGTTATTCCCGCCTGTCCCAGCAGGATGGGGCCTCAGGGCTCAGCGGAGTGGGAAATTCAGCAGCCCAGGCTGGGAGGGGGCAGCAGCTGGCTCTGCTGGGGCGCTCTGCCAGAGCCCGGGACAATCTCCGGAGCAGCCAGGTGAGATCCCTGCCCTGGCTCATCTGGAGGAATCCCCCAGGCTCTGGGTGAGCAGAGCTGGGAACCATTTCCTATTGAAACTCCACACCAAAAAAAAACTGTGTGGCATCTTTTTCCCAAGGCCTGGAGCATCCTCCTTCCTTCCAAATTTGTCACACTCCTCATCGCTGCTGTGGGGGATTCTGCACCCCAGGAACAGCAGCAGGATCCGTGCTGCAGACCAGTCCTTCCCCTCCTCTACTCTGATTTATTGATTTATCACTGCAAGTAATTGATAAGGCTGGAGGGGCTAAAAATGACCTGCAGTGGTCAGGAAGGGAAAGGTGGAAGGGGTAAGAAACTCGTGGAGAGCAGGGGAGAGGTCAAAGCCGGGGGGGCTCCCAGGCACATCCATAAAAATGTGGAATTTGCCTGGATATGGAGATTGCAGCTGTCTGTAATTCCACAGGGAACGCCTTAAACCCGGGCTGGATGGCAGAACTGGCCCAAAAGGGAGGAGCAGCTCTGCAGGCACCCACTTGGGGTGGGGCTGGGGGACACCCGGGGGTGTGGGGATGTGACACCCCCCTGGGGAGAGCACGGAAAGGCTGGAAGCTCCTTCCAGCTGCCTTTCCTCCATGTCACCCCTCCATCCCGGGGGATGTCACCCCTCCATCCTGGGGGATGTCACCCCTCCATCCCGGGGGATGTCACCCCTCCATCCCGGGGGATGTCACCCTTCCATCCCGGGGGATGTCACCCTTCCATCCCGGGGGTGCTCCTATCCATTCCAGAGATGTCACCCATCCATCCCGGGGGTGTCACTCCTCCATCACAACGGATGTCATCCATCCACCCCAGAGATGTCACCCATTCTAGGGGTGCTCCCATCCATCCTGGGCATGTCACCCACCCACGGATGTCACTCATCCATCCCAGGGGATGTCACCCCTCCATCCTAGGGGATGTCACCCATCCCAGGTGAGATCCATCTTCCCCAGGGATGTCACCCCTCCATCCCAGGGGGATGTCACCCATCCCAGAGATGTCACCCCTCCATCCCAGGGGATGTCACCCCTCCATCCCAGAGGCATGTCACCCATCCCGGGGGGCTGTCATCCCTCCATCCTGGGGGATATCACCCATCCCAGAGATGTCACCCCTCCATCCCAGGGGGATGTCACCCATCCCAAGGGGATGGAACCCATCTATTGCAGGTATGTCACCCATCCCAGGTGAGATCCATCTACCCCAGGGGGATGTCACCCCTCCATCCCAGGGGGATGTCACCCCTCCATCCCAGGGCATGTCACCCATCCCACAGATGTCACCCCTCCATCCCAGGGGATGTCACCCATCCCACAGATGTCACCCCTCCATCCTGGGGGATGTCACCCCTCCATCCCGGGGGATGTCACCCCTCCATCCCAGGGGATGTCACCCCTCCATCCCGGGGGATGTCACCCATCCTACAGATGTCACCCCTCCATCCCAGGGCATGTCACCCATCCCACAGATGTCACCCCTCCATCCCTGCCCACCTCAACAGTGCAGCACAGCGGGACCAGCCAAGCAAAAGGAAAGCTCATGACCACCTACCAACACACCTTGGCAGAGGCGAACTCCACACACGCCGTCTCCCGCCCAGGCAGGTGATCCGGGCCGCTCCCTCCAGCCGGTACCCCGGGAAGCAGGAGAAGCTCAGCACGTCCCCCACGCCGAACTGCAGCCCCTTCCTGATGCTGTAGGCTGGCACTTCTGGCTCGTCACACGGCTCCAGGTCGTATTCTGGAGGGGAGAAATGGATTTTAGGGGATGGGAAATGGGTTCTGTCCTCCACGGAGAGGACACGAGGATCCGAAGGAGCTCTGATCCAGCTGCAGTGAATTCCAAGCCATGAAAACCCACCTGGATTTCAACCCCCATCTAAAACTCAGGGCTTCTGTCCTCCCAGTAAATGACACAAGGATCCAAAGGAGCTCTGATCCAGCTGCAGTGAATCCATGAGGATTCTAATCCATGAAAATCCACTTGGATTTCACCCCCAACCTAAAACTCAGGGGTTCTGTGCTCTCTGGAGAGGACACAAGGATCCAAAGGAGCTTTGATCCAGCTGCAGTGAATCCATGAGGATTCCAAGCCATGAAAATCCACCTGGATTTCATTCCAACCTAAATTTCAGGGGTTCTGTCCTCTCTGGAGAGGACACGAGGATCCAAGGGAGCTCCAATCCAGTTGCAGTGAATCCATGAAGATTCTAAACCATGAAAATCCACCTGGATTTCATCCCAACCTAAAATTCAGGGGTTCTGTCCTCCCAGTAAATGACACAAGGATCCAAAGGAGCTCTGATCCAGCTGCAGTGAATCCATGAGGATTCCAAGCCATGAAAATCCACTTGGATTTCACTCCAACCTAAAACTCCCCCCCAGCACCTGGATCCCAACCACCTCCAAAGGCAACAGGTCCCAGCTCCTGTCAGTGACACCGGTGGGGACGGGGATTTGTCACTGTCCCTCTGCTGCAGCCCAGCGAGGATGGGTTGATCCGGGTGGGATTTCTGCTGCCTCTCCACTTCTAATCCTGGAAATGGATGATCCTGCTCAGGGAATGCAGGAGGACACTGAAGCTGCTGCTCCAAGAAAGGTCACGTAGGATTTTGGCCAACAGCCAAACTCACATCTCTGACCCCAAACCAGCTTGAAGGAAAACGCTTTTGAGGGTGTTTTTGGCAAAAGCCCCAAGTCCAAAGCCTGTACGTTAACATATATATATGTAAAGGAAGCTAAAAATAGAACTGACTCCTGTTTTTGCTTTTCAAGATAGGAAAGGAACCTTGAAATACACTGAAAATGAGAGTTATAATTAGAGGCGAGCTTTTGAAAGGCAAAAAGCCATTTTCCCCTCATCAAAATGGGAGTTAATTGGAAATTTTCTGACTGGTTTCCACATGCAAATCCCTGACTTCAGAGGCCAGGAACAAAGGCACTGGGAGCCAGGTTTCAGCTGCATCTATGGCAACAGCTCTGCCCGTCAGGGAGGGTGCCAGACCAAGCTCCACGGGAAAAATGGGAATTTCTCTCCTTCCCTGGGTGCTGAACTGGCAGCTCAGGACTGGGAAGGACACAGGGACGGAGGCAAGAACAGCAATAAAGCTCCTGTCCTTCACTGACTGTGGTAGGGAATGGCTTCTGGGGCACTCAGGCAGCAAAGATTGACATTCCCTGGAATGGCAGCACTTGGGAGTCATTTGGAGGACTCCAGCCCAGAGGACAAACACCTCGTGCCCTTCAACCAGAGGCTGCCCCAGTCCATGAGCTGCCCTGCAGTGCCACATGTCCCTTTTTGTGGTCCCTCTCTGTGGCAAGCACGTTTCTCTCCCTCTCAGGGTTTTTCATAGAGGTGCACAGAGAGAAATGAAAGAGAAAACAATTTCTATTTCTGCTCCTTGTTTTTCCTATGTGGAATGTGTTTGGAGAATTGTTTACCTGGGGTGAGTGCTTGGTTGGATTCTGGTGAGGATTGTTTGAGCTGGTGGCCAATCCAACCCACCTGGGACTCTCAGAGAGGGTCACGAGTTGTGTTAGAGAGAAAGTAGTGTGCAGTTTTAGTATCCTCCTTTTATATAGCATATTGATGTATTTTAGCATAGTTATAATAAAGAAATCATTCAGCCTTCTGAATTGATTCAGACATGCTCATTTCTTCCCATTGGGTTCGCCTGCATTTACAATACCTCTCCAAATCCCCACGCTCCTTCTGACCCACAACTGCTGAAAAAAAAATCAGGATTTCCTTTGAAGAATCTGCATTTTGGATCACCACACCCACTCAAAGCCACCATCCCCGTGATGGCTGAGCAAGCACAGCTCAGCATGGGATTGCTGGAACTTCTCTGGGCAGGAATTGTTTCCCCTCTGCCTCCTCCTGACTCCTGGAGTCAGGAAAATCTGGATCCCTCAGAGCCCTGCTGGGTGCAGCAGGAGGGGGCTCCCATCTGGTACCAGAGCAACTGAGCCAGCCCAGGCAGGGAAAATGCATTTTCCAGCTCCCTGGGAGTGCCAGTGGGATCGTGGAAACCCAGCCTGGGATATGCCAGCTGTGTTAAAATCATGGAATGGCTGGGGTGGGAAGGGACATTAAGGATCATGCAGTGCCACCCCTGCCATGGCAGGGACACCTTCCACTGTCCCAAGCCCTGTCCAACCACACCTTGGGCACTTCCAGGGATGGAGCAGCCACAGCTTCTCTGGGAAACCCATTCCAGCCCCTCCCCACCCTCACAGGGAGGAATTCCTCCCCAGTCTCCTCTTTCCCAGTTTGAAGCCGTTCCTTGTGTCCTGTCCCTCCATCCCTTGTCCCCAGTCCCTCTCCAGCTCTCCTGGAGCCCCTTCAGGCCCTGGAAGGGCTTTGGGCTCTCCCTGGAGCTTCTCCTCTCCAGGGGAACATTCCCAGGCTGGCTCCACGGCAGAGACACATCCAGGACAGGCTCGGGATGGCCACTGGAGGAGCATCCAAGTGGAGCAAGGAGCCAGAGGCAAAAAGAGGGAGCAGATGGAAAAGGGAGGGACCAGCCCTGTCCTGAGCAGTCCAGATTGCTCCGTGCTGCTTCCAAAGGATCCCATCTGTCCCTGTTTCCCTGCTGGAAATGCTGGGCCTGCTGCAGGGATTCTCCTCTAAAAGAAGAGAAGGGCTTTGGGCAGAGGGACAGCATTCCCCAAAAATCCTGAGCTGCAGCTGTCCAGAAATGGAGCGGGGAAGGTGAGGGTGAGCAGGGAGACAGCAGCGCTGGAGAGGGGTTCCATTCCAGCGGGTCCATTCCCGTTATCCAGCCCAGGCCAGAGAATTGTTCCCCCTGGCTATGTGGGGGCTGCAAGGGGGATATTTCTTGGGACACATGGGGAAAAAATTCTTGGGATGCACTGGGAAAATTTATTGGGACATGCTGGGAAAAATTTCTGGGAAGGGAAGGGAAGGGAAGGGAAGGGAAGGGAAGGGAAGGGAAGGGAAATCGCAAAGAAAGGGGGAAAGCAAAGAAGGAAAGAAGGAATGGACAGAAAGAAAGGAAAGAAGGGGCAGAAAGAAGGGGCAGAAGAAAGGGAAAGAAAGAAGGGACAGAAAGATGGGGCAGAAGGGACAGACAGAAGGGACAGAAGAAAGGGAAAGAAGAAAGGGAAAGAAGAAAGGAGGCACAAAGAAGGGACACAAAGAAGGGACACAAAGAAGCCTTTGGGCAGCAGCTGTCACCTGAGAAAGTGATGTTGAAGCCCTCATAGGACATGGAGAAGTCGGAGATGAAGCGGATCTGGGCCGAGAAGTTCCCAAAGAGTCCCGCGCTGAGCGGGGCCGGCAGCTGGGAGCCCGTCAGCTGCTTCAGGGGCTGGGCAAAGCTGGAGTTCTCCGTGATCAGCAGGTAATCGTGGCCATTCTCCAGGTGGAACGTGTGGAAGGTGAAGAACACACCTGCAGAAGGGGGGGAAAGCACGGGTGGAGTCATCCCACAGCATTCCCAGTGCCCAGCCCTGCTTCCCACCAAGGGCAGGGGGAACATCACACTGAAATCGTGGGTTTGGTTCTGGTGGCAATGAAATCAATAAAAACCCAAAACCTTGGGTGTGGTAGCAGGCCCAGAGCAGGGCCAGGCCCTGGAGATGTTGGATTGCTGTGCCCTTGTCAGGGATGACACAAATTTGCTCCAGGGACAGAGCAGCGGCTGAGGGAGCGGCCCAGGGGAGTTTTTTATTCTAAAAGTGACTTTTAAACAGAGAGCAAGAGCAGCAAGGCTGGAGCTGGGAGGGCTTGGAAACAAGCGTGTTCCAGAAGGAATTCCTGCCTGGAAAAACAGGATTTAAAGCCAGCCTCAAGGTCAGGGAGGCTTTTCCAGAAGTGTGTCAGTGGTGCAGCTGCAAGGACCTTCTCATGATGGGCTGAAATGGAGAATCGTGGAATTATTTGGGTGGGGATGACCTTAAAAATCATTTTATTGCTTCCCACTCCCATGGGAAGGGACACCTTTCCCTAGTCCAGCTTGATCCAAGAAAAACCCCTACTTTTATTCACCTTTTCTTGCCCAAAATAAACCCCACAACAGCTCCAACTGCCACGGAAATCCCAGCCAAACACAGCAAAACTATTTTGCCTCCTTCTCCCAAATTCAATTTGAACGATTTGAAACATTTGGGGAGAAAGCTGTGACCTTGCTGCATTTGTAAATGAGCCAGAGAGGAGTAATGGATTACTTAAAGTCCCCTTCACACCTCCAGACACACAATGGGAAGCACTTCAGGCTCCTGCAGGAGCCTCCAGCGAGGTGATTTTTCATGCTGGAATTCAAACACCATTAGAAACACTCACTCTCTGGAAAATAATTCCAGCTTGGAAATAAATAAAAAAANAAAAAAAAAAGGCAGTGAGAGCAGAGCCAGGCAGGATCTGAGCTCAGGAACTCTGTCACAGCATTGTCACAGCGACTTAACGAGGCAAGGAGATGCCAAGCAATAAAAAGCCTTTTTGCATTTAGATGGATTTTTCCATCCTGATCTCCCAGCTCTTGCAGCAGCCAGGGCAGGCTCCCCAGCCCCTGCTCGTGTGGGATTGGGATTTATCCTGCTCAGAGCCCCTCTGGAGAGACACGGACCCCTCCAGGCAAATCCAAGGATGGAATCTGGGCTCTGGGAGAGATCCCTGCTTGGCTTGACCGGGTGGTTTCATTGGACCCAATAATTCACACCCCAAGGGCTGGCTCTGCATCCCACCGTTCCTAAAATGCTTCATCCCAAAGAAACAGCAGGAAACCTGCAAAGAAAGCCCACAGGAAGATCCTCCTCCTTGCTGCCCATTCCCTGTTAATTTCTGGAGATCAGGGAAAGCTCCGGAGATCCAATATCCAACCCCACAGCATCCAATTCCAGCTGAATATTCCATTTATTCATCCCTGGCTCTCTCCCCAAGTTCTTCCTGGAGGTTTGGTGCTCACATGGGGCTCCTCCCTTCCAAGAAGTGAAGGTCAGAGAGGCTGGAAACCAATAAGGAGCTTTTCCCATGGGATTGGGAATGAAGGAATTGTGGGATCATCCCAACCTTCATCCCTCTGCAGCACCTCACTGCCCTTCAGTGTCTCAGAAGGATTTTTATGGCCCAAAGCTTAGGACTGACCTTGACAATTCCTTCTTTATATCCATTCTGTGAAGAACATTTTTAGTCTCACTCTTTCCCCCCTGCAAAATTCCACAAAAGCAGGAAACTTCCAAGAGTTTCCGAATTGTTTGTTATTTCTACCAGGAGCACAAAACAGAAATAGATCTGACCTGAAAACTGGGACGTGGGGAATGCAAAATGACTTTATTCTCCCCCGACAGCAAATTTATACCCTCAGCTTCAGCAAGCCCAGCCTAAGGAACAGAAATAACATCACCCCTCTGGAATCAGCACAAGAATAATTCAGTTATCCTGGAGAACATGCCCAAATTCCAAGTTTTTTAAGGTAAAAACTCCGAGCAGAGGACATGAGGCTCCTCCAGCAATGAAGGGTTGTGGAATTATAGCAAAAAGAGCTAATTATGAACTCATTTTAAAGGATTTGTGACCAATTAAACCTTTGCTCTGGTCTGCAATTTCGTGTGGCACAGAACATCTCTGCGAACACAAGGCTGTGCTTTTTGTTTTTCCTCCCTCCCCCCATTCTCTGCAAAAGAAACAGCAAAACAAATTAGAGGTGGAAAGAAATCACTTTGAAGCAGTGAGATTAAAAATAATGGTCTCTCTTTAGGCATTTAAACACTTTTAAAATGAAGCTGCTTTTAAACTCCACTTGCACAGCCTGGGAGTCCATAAAGTGTCACAGGAAAAGAATTGTTGGAGCAGCTGGGGCAATGCCAGCTGGCCATGTGGGAGATGCTCCCAAAAACCTTGGGTGGGAGGAGCTGAACACCTCCACGAATCCCTCAGGAGGGGCAGATCCCTCTCAGTGACAGGGACTGCTTTCAGGATATCTGGATCCACATCCTGACTTTCAGGATGGGGCCACAAAGGTGTGGAACAGGAGCTAACACACGGCACAGGCTCTGTTTGAGAAGGATTTTCCCTTTAAAAGGATGAAGAGGTGACATCAAAACCCTCTGGATCTTGTCCAGGGACAATGGAATCATCATTCCTGAGAGGAACTCTTGGATCCCACAGGGAGAAGTTTCCTCGTCCTCTCCTCACCTTTCCCATGGGATGTTTCTATTGTCCACGTGCAGTTCAAGTTGTTGGGATAAAAATCAGGGAAGCCTGGGGAGAGGATGGTGCCACTGGAGCCACGGATGTAGCCCCCACAGAGAGCTAAAAACACCAAAAAAAAAAAAAAGAGGAGAGAAAGAGTTCAATAATTCAGAATAATTCACAAATTGGGAGGAAAAAGTAAAACCAAAACCCAGCCCAGGAAAATCCAACGAAAGAGACTGATCGACCCAAATCCAATCCACCCAAATTGGGTTTTGTTGGTCAGAATACAACAAAATACATGGATAAACCCATGAAAATAAAAAAAAAACCCCATGGATTAAATGCCACCGGGAGCTTTCCAGCTGCTGCTTTGGCAGTGGGTCTGCACGGGAAGGATTTCCTGGGCAGGGCCGGCAGCTGGAACCACGATCTGGATATTCCGACCCTGTGAGAGCCCAGCTCTGCCTCCTGACACCGGGAACACCCTGCAGGGGCTGAAGCAGAGCTCTCCTCACCCTCGCAGCTGGGCAGGGGCCGGCTCCACTGGAAGTTGGGCTCGCACTCCAGGGCCTCGCCGTCGCTCAGGGTGTAGCCAGGGTCGCAGCTGAACCTCACCAGGGCTCCCACGTAGAAATCGTTGCCGTGGCGCTGCCCGTTCACCGGGATGCCCGGGTCCAGGCAGTGGTCGGACTGCAGCTTCACAGCTGGGGCACACAGAGCAGGGCCACAGCCCTCAGCTGGGCCAGGGAGGGGCTCAGGGGCAGCTCAGCCCGCCCAAGGGATCCTCCCGAACCTTCCTGGTGATCCCCAGCGTCAGAGGGTGAAAGGGAGACAGGGAATTCCCCATGGGATCATCCCGAAACTTCCTGGTGATCCCCAGGGTCAGAGGGTGAAAGGGAGACAGGGAATTCCCCAT